CTTTTCGAGGTACTGCTGGCTGGCCTTGATGAAGGCGGCCCCCAGCAGCATCCCCACAACAAGCGGCACGCCCCCGTGCGGCGCGCCCTCCGCCAGCAGACCAAAGCTCGCGGCGAGCATCACGCCGGACGCGACCGCGTTGGCCAGCCCCGCCCAGGGGCGTGACAGGGAGCCGAAGAGGAAGAAGGGCACCGCACCCAGGCCTGAGGCGAGGGACATGACCAGGGTCATGGCTGTGATGGCGCCTAGAGGCACGCGCCGCTGCGTAGCGCGCTGCCCCTGCTGCTGCTGCTGCTGCTGCTGCTGCTGCTGCTGCTGCTGCTGCTGCTGCTCGTGGCGGTGTTGTGGCCCGGGGTGCAGCTCGCCATGCTGCCTGACATCCTGCTGCGGGCCGCGCGCAGCCAGAATCCCAGGGCCAACGTCGCGCAAAGACCGCTGCTGCTGCTGCTGCTGCCGCTGCGCGGCAGCCACCGGCACAGGTGCGTGCACATGCGTGCCTGCCGCGTGGCCGGCGGGCCCTGCTGCCGCCGCTTTGGTGGGGTCGCCCATGGCGCCGCCGCCGACGGCCTGCCAGTTTTGCTCGAGATCGTACTGGCGGCCGCCGACGCCGTCGATCTGCTGCCACCCCTCGTTGGCCTGCTGCAGAGTGCGGCGCGCAGCTCCGGGCTGGGGCGCAGGGAGGGTGGAGGAGGGCCTGTTAGTTTGGCGGGGGCTCTCATTCAATGTGAAGCCCAGCGCGGCGTCCTCCCCTGCGTCTGGGCAGCAGCACGGTCACCCTGGCAGTTGCGGGACTCGCACGCAAACGCAGCTCACCTGACTAGGCTCCGAGGGTTGCTCCAGGGCGTGCACCGCGAGCGCGCCTGCGCCCCACGCCCCAGCGAGCAGCACGAGTGCCAGGACAAGCAGCGGCAGCGCAGCCTTCTGCCGCGGCCCTCCTGAGCAAGCCATTCTTTGCACGGGCTTCACTCTGTACGCGCCATTTATTTGTGACTGAATGAACAGTCCTGAGCTCTGGGACCGACCTAGCGCGTGTCCCAAACAAACGGTCCCGTGCGGGTGTGTTCAAGCTGGTCGCGGGATCAAGCCAAAGAAATATTTGCCAACTGATCTCCACTGAGTCGCAAGAACAGGTCGAAAGTGCTGCCGACACACGAACGCTGTGGGAAGCTGCGTGCCCCTTCATCCTGAGGTGCCTCGTCGTTACCGTGCTCAAAGGCCGCTCCCAGTCGCTATATTGTAGAGATCATGTTTTATCGACGCCTTAGCACCGGATCTGGCCGACCGATGCAGCCATGCACCACCGTTCCATTCGAACCCGTGGGCCGAGCCTTGTGCCCCTCACAAGCAGCGCCTATGACGCCCTGGGAGGATCTGATCATGATTCTGGATGGCCGGAATATGATAACGGCCCCAGCAAGCGCGTGTCAGCGCGCGCAGGGAGTGGTGCTGGTGTGTGGGCGCTCCTTGTCGCCGCAGCCGCCCTCGCAGTTGCAACATTTGTGGTAATTTCCAAGCATCGTCAGTACCAGGGCGTGCACATGGCATATCACCAGGCCATGCAGGCTAAGCTCGGAGCAGAGTATGCCGCTCTCGACGCGCTGCATGCAGAGCAGCGAGCACTGCAGGTGTGTGGAGGAGTCGGTTGGCGGCGGTTGGGCTCTCGCGCGCGAGGATCCGGCTAACGACCCCCCTGCATGCTGATGAGGCGGTGTCGCCCACGGCCACCAGGGCGCCAGCAGCCCCGCTGCATGCAGCGCATGAGGCATGCCATGCGGCCCCAGCGCCTCACTCCGGTTCCTGCATGCTGTGAGGAGCGCCATGAGGGCCCCTGGCAAGCCTCTCATGCGCCAATGGATCGCCCTCGATCGCAGAGCCACTTGTCAGACGTCACGGTCCTGGCAGACTCCACCAGCCGCGCCCACCAAGAATGCCGCGGCCGCGAGGCCGCCATTGCGGCCGACCTGGCAGTGCGAAGCGAGCAAGGGCGCGCCGCCGAACGTCGCGCAGCGGCGGCCGAGGCAGCGCGCGCGCAGCTCGAGGCGGACGCGGCGGCGGAGCGCGCACGGCTGGAGGCGGAGGCGGCGCGCCTGAGGGCACGACTCGCGGCGGCGGAGGAGCGCGAGAAAGCAACTGAAGATGCCCTTGGCGCGGAGCACGCGCGGCGCATGTGGCTGGAGACGGAGTCAGTCAAGGTCGGGCTGCTGCGGCACACAGCGCGGGGCCCCGGGTCTGATGAGGAGGCGGCGCGGCAGCACGGGGAGCTGGCGCTGCTGCTCAAGCAGGTGTGTGTGTGTGGGGGGGAGTGCTGAGTCCTGGCCGACAAGGCCAGGCTTCATAACTCTGCTGCATCTGGGCTGCGAAGCTGAGCAGGCCTTGGCAACATGTGTGCAGCCAGACGTGTCTGTTTCGGTAGACATGCAGGTTGGAGGCCGGGCGGCCCCAGGCCAATGCAAGGAGTGGGGCTATGATCACGCTCCTTCCCCCTTGACCCTCGGCCGCCTCGCGTGCCCCCACAGCTGGTGCACAACGGCGACGTGCTGCTGGCCGTCTGTGACAGGGGGGTGACCTACCCCCATGACTTCCTGACGCCCTGGGTGCACCAGGTGGGCGTGGCAGGGGGGTTTCCGACGCATGGACGCGCGGCAGCTCAGCACGTTAGACATCGCCGACCGCGAGGCCCCGCCGTTTGAGCCCAGGCCGAGCACGATGCTCCCATTCATTTCGAAACCCCACAGGTGCGTCGCCTGGGCCTGGCCAACATCTTGGTGCTGACAGGCGACAGCGTCGTCCTGGGGAAGGCCAAGGCCCTGGGGGTGGACGCGCTGCTCACCAGCCCCAAGGTGGGCCAGCGCTCGGCAGGGGCGGGGGCGCGCTCGGGCCGCCAGCTGGCTGGGCCCGCACGGCGCCCGGTCCGCAGGGCAGCAGCAGTGGCGCCCAGCGTGATGCCATCACACGATACGTGCCGCCACGCCTCATGCCATGCCGGGCTTTTGGTGCATCGCCCGCAGGCAGCGCACGACGCGCCGCCGGACGCGCGTGGCTTAGTGACAAAGTGGGCGTCCGTCGAGCTGCTGCTCAGCCTGGGTCACTCTGTGCTGTACAGCGATGTGGACGTGGCGCTGCTGGGGGACCCCTTCACGCTGCTGAGGAGGGACTGTGACCTGGAGGCCATGAGCGACGCCGCGGACGAGCGGTCGGCGTACGGTGGGTGTCATGGGTTGCTGGGTGGCTGGGTGACCACGACAGCTGGCACACTGGCTGACTGCCTGTCTGCCTGCGTTCCTTCTTGCCGTGCCTGTCGGTCTGGCTTGGAGTTGGTGCTTCAAAATGGTAAAGCCCTCATGTGTGCATCGTTCTGGGTGCGGAGGATACATGCATGTTGCCGTTCTTCCAAGATAAGGCTTGTGCAACACAGCACGCTCATGCCCCGACACCCGCAGGCACAGCTGAGCCAACGCAAAGCGCAGCCGAGGCTGCCGGCGGCTCTGCCAGGCGCCGCTTTGTGGTGGCGGGCCTGTCGCCTGGCCTGTTCTACATGCGGCCAACTCAGGCCGCGATCGATCTGGCAGCCTCCATGGTCCGCGGCCTCCAGGCTGGGCGGGAAACAGAGGCCACCCTCCTCACGCGCGCCGCGCTCGCACCTGCCCACGCCGAGACCTCGAGGGACACGCGGGTGCGGCTGCTGCCGTTCGGCCCCGTCCTCGCCGGGCGCGCCGTCTTTGCGCTCCCCGCGCACCCCGAGGCGCCAGCACCGGCGTCGCGGAGGGGCAGGGACAAGCGGGACGCAGCGCACGAGGAGGACGGCGAGGAGGCCGCGCTGCTGTCGCCGCGCGGGGACCTGCTGCGGCGGCACGGGACGGTGGCCGTCCACGTGGGTGGCGGTGCGCCCGCCGGGGAGCGGCTGCTGCGGCTGGAGGCGTTTGCGGCGTACGGCTTGGGCAGGCCGCGGGCGCTCGAGGCGCTGCCCGCGGACAGCGGGGGCGCTGGCCTCGGGCCCGCCGCCGCGCGCGCGCTCAAGAAGGCCCCGGCTGCGGCGGCGGTTGCGGTGGAGGGCCGTGCGTGGGCGAACACACTGTGGTGAAGCGTGGCGCGTGCGGCCTGTGTCAGTGTCAGGGCCTGCAGTGCAGAACGCCGTGTGTCTCCACAGACGTCCTTTGTGCTCCTCGCGTGCGCTCTGCGGCTGAGATCTGCCAAGACACAAACAGGCACCCCTCAAGCGGGTCTCATGGCTTGTGAGGGTTCCACCAAAGATCTTGCAGACCACGCAAGCAGCTGGCAGCTGCACAGGCGTCCGCACATTCGCCAATACGGCCGATGCACGTGCGTTCCTGCTGTGGCTAACGGGGCTGTTGTGTGTCACCTGTCGGCCTTTGCACCTCCTGTTCTCCTCATTCCTCTACACACACATCCCCATGTATTCCTGGCCCACAACTCCACGCATTCCTGCTTTGCTGGACGCGCCCTGCTTGGTCTTGGTTTGCTATCAGTGATGGTTGGCTTTGGAGAGGAAATCTGAATGTCGGCGGTCTGCCCCTCTCCCTCTTCACTTGAATTGCATCTGGCCGGGGGATTCCAGCCCCTGCCCCAAACTAAACGCTGTGCTTCTTGATGCTGGCCACATGGCTGCGCGCATTGTGACTCAGGGCTAGCTTATCCACCTTGTGCGCAGGTCTTATCGCCAGGCTGCTGTGTCAGGACTCCTAGGAGCGTTTTGTTTCGGGGGCGGAATGCCTCGTAGGGGGTTTGAGACCCTCTCCCCATCCAGGGCTGCGTCGCTCAGCAAGCAGGGTATTTCACTGCTGCATGAGCCTGTGTGCACCCCACCAGGCGCCAAGCGAAGCACGCACGCACGCCGTGCCGCGCCGTAGACAATTTGCAGCAGCGAGCGTGCGAGGCTGTGCATGTGCGAGGGATGCAGGCGGGGGCGCGTCTCACAGCTGCACGGGCTCGCAGCCCCTGCGAGCGTGCATCGCCTGCCTCGACGCCCTGCAATGGCGGCCTCGATTCCGCACCCACCAACTCCCAAGGCGACCATGGCCATCAGAGTGTGACTTGGTTTTTCAGCGCCCATTGCCCCTCCCCAGAATCACCTGGAACTTCCAGCGCCCTTTCATCGAGGCACCTAGACTGTGGCTGTCCTGTTTGGCCGTTTCATTGCCGTTTCCTGCACGTACGCACAGCCGCATTAGGCCTCAGCTTTGACATGCTGGATATATCACCTGAATTTTCTCACACAGATGATTTGTTCTTAACACCTCCAATACATACATGCGATTCGGCAGATTATGATGCCGCATTACAGAGGACAGTCGGGGCGTGGGCAGGGAGAATGTGGGGCAGTCCAACGTAGGTCACTCTGCATTCAGACGATGACTCGAGCCTCTTCATAGTTGGTCCCCGAAGCTGTGGCGCGCAACACGAAACGGCTCCAGTATTTTGCAGGGGGCAGTGCAGCTGCCCCCTGCGGGGTGAGCGGGGCTGGGGTTGCCTTTTAGGTTTCATGGCTGGACTGATCAGCTGGGGGCCTGTGCCGATTACGAGCAGCACAAAAAGGGGCAGTGCATACACAACGCTATTATACAACGTTCATGCAAGAGGGCCAGACTGTCAAAGCCACCCTGGAACCTTTCCATACCAAGTCAGACATCCTGAATCACGCATGGTGTGCCAACAAGCTCTCCTTCCAGCAGCAGCGGCGCTCGCGGCTCCTCGCGGCTCTTGCGGCAGTAGCGACGGCAATAGCCCTCAGCTAGCCACAGCCAAAGCAAGGGTTAGTGGGTTACAGATCATCATCATCTCAACCATCGAATTCATCATATTATGCATCAGCAGCATCAGCAGTAGGTAAGAAAGAAGAAAGAAGAGATGCAAAGGGAGCAGCAGTGGCAGCCACGGCAAGAGGAGCAGCCGGAAAAATCTGCAGCCGCTTTCAGATTGGCCCTGATGCAACACACAAGGCGATCCTGCATTGATGGACTCGTGCTGATCCTCATGACTACTCGGCGCAAGTAGTGGAGGCAGCGCCGCTTCTTTGATTGTGGCAGCAGTTCCAGGCTTGCAACTCCTCTACTGCAGGTGGCTCAAAAGCTGCACAGTTGTGTGAATTCCTGCCCCCCTTCATGTGAACACGATGAATGTAATACCTGAGTTGTTGGAGTGGTCGCCTTGAGCAGCGATGTGCTGCACTGGGGCCAGACAGCAGGTGCCCGGGCTGCAAGGAGATATGCTTTTGTGCGGATGTCACCGGTGACGGTGCGACCACAAGGACCATCAGCCCAGCTGCTCAACATGAGTGCGAGCCCTAATTGCATGGTTGCGCATCCAGAAACCTGCTCGCTGCTGGCGCGCCTGTCGGTTCCAGCGCTCTGTTCACGCCAACCGTTCTCGCGTGATCTGGAATAGTTAACGTGTTCTCATAGCGGTTCGTAAATTACTTTGAGAGGGCGAGCACGATGGGTTCTCTGGGCCAGGACAACGGCCACGGCCCGCCTGTGATTCCACCCGCGCACAATGGGGCAGCATACGTTGTTTCTTCCACAAAGGTACGGTAAAGGTCACGCTGATTAGAAGTGAGCGAGCGCACTGCCGCCATGGCAGCGGCGCGCGTTGTCGCGCAGCAAAGCTCGTGACCAGGACGCACCAGAGCAGTGCTGAGGGGGGGGGGGGGCGCTTCCTGCGCCCTCTGCGCGCTCCTGTACGGGGCCAATGCTTCCGCCTCCGCATGCCGTTTGCGCCCCAACACCAGGGCGCTGGCATCACAACCAGCCCAAGTGGGCGCCGCTTTGTGCTTGAGGTGCGACAGGGCAGGGCGGCTCATCTGCGTCACGGCTGCGACACTCGGCGTGACGAGCGGCGCGCGCCCACCACACGGCCACCGCACGCCACCCACACAGCATCCGCACGGCTCGCTGCACGCGCCGGCCACGCGGCTGGCGGCGGTGTGTCACTGGGGCCGCCGGTGGCCCGGGTGACTAGAGCACTCCGATGGCACGCCGCATGGCGTAGGGATTATATGCCAAGCAGGGCGATCAAACCTGGCAGGCCAGCAGAGCGCGCCATACTGCTGGTTGCAGTATGGCGGGCGTGCGTCGAGCGCTGCTTTCCATGCTGTCACCCACCCACCCCGAAGCCAACGAGACTGCCCACCCATACCGCCGACAGGACGACGCGCCCTACCCGGCCCCGATCGCGGCGGGCGAGGAGGAGCGCGTGTCGCGGCGCGCCAAGCAGCCCAACACCTGCGGCTGCGGGGACCTGGCGGCGAGGGACTCCATCGGGCCGTTGCTGCGGTTTGCCGGCTACGACCCAGATGAGGGTGAGGGGCGGGGTGACAAATCGCTTTGGCAGTTTGGGCAGGGAGCACAATGCAATAAAGTCTTGGATCGCGACGGCATCCCATTCACAAGGTCCAAGATTGCACAGTGCGATTAGTCATCAGTCACTTTGCAGGGGCTCGAGAATCTTTGTTCCACTGGCTTGCTCTGCGGCCGGCTGTGTGCGGCCTCGTCCCACCTCACCCCCCTCCCCCACCCCAGACTGCTGGATGGGGTCAGTGCTGTATGTGTGCAAGCCCAGCGTGACGCTCAAGCCGGTGCTGACCTGGACAGACACTGATGCTGGCACCTCACACACGGTAAGGCGCACGCCGCCAGCCCGGGGGCACGCGTGCGCCGCGCGCTGCCCGCTGCCAGCGGGTCTCCAGCAGCGTGGTCGGGCATCGCATTTGAAAGGGTGGCGGTGAAAGCGGCGCGCCACGGCGGGAGAGCCAAGGAGTTGAGGAGCCGCCTCCAACTCCCAGGACTGGCATGCTGCACGAGCGTATCACTCAGGAGTAGATTCCCCTTGTACGATGCACCCGACCCTCAGCAGCCAAGCCGTTCGCCCTCCGGTTCGTGCCCCGCAGGTGCCCGCCAACTGCCTGGACTCGTTCTGTGAGTGGAACTTCTGGCGCTTCGACCTGGGGGTGCCCGTGGGCGACGGCGAGAAGCGGATCGAGTACAGCGTCCAGGGGGAGGGCGGCGCGTTCTACGTCGCGGGTGCGTGGCGTGCCTGAGTTGGCGGGGTCTGTGGGACGCTTGGGGTGGAATGTCCCCGGACTCTTGTGGCTTGAGGATAGAGAGGGAGTGCGTGAGAGAGGGGAGGAAGCGAGAAAGATAGAGACAGAGAGACAGAGAGACAGAGGGGCCGAGCTGTTCCGGTGGGGTTGGTGAGGATGTGATGCCAATGCTTTGCCGGGGGAACTGACCAGTTCGACTTGCGTGTGTTCAGTGAATGGGGCATTTGAAGGCTCGACCAAGCCACAGCCTGCATGCCTCAGAGGTGCAGGTGCCTGCCACGAATCACGCAAGAAAAGGCCGCACTGCAATGCCAGGCGGATTGCCGGCTGGGCAACACCCATGGCACAGCTGCACATGCCTGCCCGCTGCGCATCAACAATCAAAGCCAGCACATCACCACCTCGCATCGCCCCCGCGCTTTGCTGGCGGAGTGCGGAGGTCTCGGCACCGCCCATGGCCGCCAAGCCCTTTGTCCTCCCCGGTGATCTTATCCCAGGGCGCGAGCAGTCGTACCACTGGGGCTACTACTCATGCAACGGGTTCACCCCAGACGTGCCCCGGGAGGAGGGCGAAAAAAAGTGGTGCGGCCTGGAGCCGCTGTGGCGGGACGTGCTGGCGCGACACAAGGACCTGCCCCTGCACGTCATGGTGGGCGCCGGGCGGCGCGCCTGGCCGGAAGCTCTGCCGGCCTCCGTGGACATTGCGAGCAGCCCCTGCCTCCTGCATGTGCACAGGACGGGCGGAACTTGCAAGGGGCAAGCGCACACATAGGCCTTGTGGCGGAAGAAACATATGCGTCACAAGCCTTGGGACCCCCTGAATCCTGTATCATGCTCAAGCCTTGCATGCGGGACACCCCCACCTGCATGGCAAGCCGCAAAATCCCTCGTGCACCCGGCCTCCCAGACTGACTGCCACCCACCACGCCCCGCCTGCAGGTGGGGGGCGGTGACCAGCTGTACAACGACGACGTCCTCAAGTCGCCCGCGCTGCAGCCCTTCCTGGACGCACCAACACCGGACCGCCCCGGCTGGGAGTTTGGCGCCGACATGCGCGACGACGTGAGGGCCGCCATCCCCCCTATTGATCTGCCGGAGGCGCCGAAGGGCCCTGGCGGTGCAAAGGGCGTCGGCGAGCGGGGGGCGTGCGGTCGCGCATTGTCGCCTTGGGAGGCCCCGCCCAGTCTGTGCGGGCTGACTCTGACAGCCGGGAGCTGTGGCGCCGAGTGCATGCTGATATTCATGTCGCATCACATCTCAATGCACAACTTTGTTCGTGTGCGTGTCGCAGGTGGAGGACTACTACTTCCACCACTACGCCACACACTTCACGTTTGGCGCCGTGGGGGAGGCGTTCAGGAGCATACCCCAGATCATGACATGGGATGACGTGAGCGCTGCTGCATGGGGGTGGGAGGGGGGCAGGGTCAAGATG